AGTCGTTCCAGGGCCTCCGCCCTCTCGTCGGTGCCGGCGGGCTCCGCGGCGAGGCGCTCCTAACGGGGGGGCGGCGCTTCCCACGGAAAACAAGAACCTGCTCCCCCCCCACCACCCCCCCGCCAGGGCCGTAGGCCCCTTCATGGGGCCCCATGTAACGTCTTGAAAAAACAAGACGGAGAGTTCTCGTAATGTTCGGCCTCTCGGGGCCCTCATTGGGCCCTGGGACCGTGAAAAGGAACGAGTCCCGATAACAAGCCGGCCCTGGGGAAAGAAACGGGACGTCCGAGGACCTCTTGAGGGAAAAAACAAAACATCGGAAGCCTGGGTCCTACAGGGACGAGCCATCTTTCTGCGGGTCCCTCGGGTGCGCCGACAGAGAGGGGCCAGGAAGAAGGGGGGGACGCAGCCCGCGGCCCGAGGCATGTGCGCGGACGAAGGGGGCCAGGGGACGTGCTGGAAGAGGAAGAGGCGAGCCACGAGATATGGGAGAAATCATGGCCCAGGCGGCGATGTCCGCATATACACACACACACACACACACACACACACACACACACAATCCTCCTGATGCTCCTCCTCCTCCTCCTCCTCCTCCTCCTCCTCCTCCTCCTCCTCCTTCTCCTCATCCCTCCTCCTCCTCTTCTTCGTCTTCATCCACCGACTTCATGGATTTATCCGACGCAGACGCCAGGCAAGCGCTGCGGCCACCTGGCTTGCGCGTGCCAGGGGGAGGGGGGGACCTGAAAACTGGGCCATGTTCCTGGAAGGTGCTGAATAAAGGCTGGGCTAGGCAAACAAGGGAAGATAGCATCCACAGGGGTCCACAACCAACGCCTGCCCTCTAGCACCGAGCGCATCCGTACCTGAGCTCGTGCTCGCTTGTAGCCCTCGCTAGCGCTGCCTGCAGCGGCACAGCCATGACGAGAAGGAGAGGCGAGGAAGCCATCGGAGGTTGATCCACCCCGGGCGGCGCAGGTGCACCTCCGCCCCTAGCGGTACTCCATGCAGTGGCTGCCAGGGTCTCAGACACCTACCTTGGGCAGGCCACCTTCGTGAGGCGTAGATTTTTGGAACGCTCAGCCAGGCTGCCCTCGTCACCTCCCCCCTCTTCGTCCCATCATTCTGTGGACGGCAGAGAAAAGGAGAGGGGCGCCCAAAGGCAGTTCCCCAAAACCCGCCAAAACGAAAAGCAGCCCACCCAGACACCCCTCTCTCCCAGGGCACGGGAGGGTTGGAAAAGTGAACAAGTGCGACGAGAGCAGCTTGAGCTCACAAGGCCGCGTGTTGCGGCGTCACATCTGATCACGGAAAATCATGCTATGCCTGAATGGTAGACTGTAGCAATTTCGTGTCTATGGGGATTGTAGCACTTGTGTCCCTCTACCCCTCCACCCCGCTGGAACAATGCGCAGCATGACAAAGTATGTTATGCCCGCACAGGGGAAGGGGGGGCGGGCTGTAGAAATGTCGTTCCCAGGGGGATTGTAATAACTCTTGCCCCATCCAACCCCCTTGAGCATCGTGCAGCGTGATAAAAGTTGTTATGTCCGAACAACGAGCAATACGCATAAGAAAGAAAGGTCAACAAGACAATGATCCTAGCAAGCTGGAGAGAGAACACATTGGTATGGGGCAATGGAGATTGCTTTCGCAGCGGAAAAAATACCCGAAGACACAGCCCCCACCTTGTGATACCATGTCCTGGCGGGGACGATGAATACGCAACGCGCTGCCACTGCTGAACACCCTGGCAATAGCAAGATTGATCAAACTTTCCCAGAAAGGTACGTGTGCCACATGTCGGCTTGGGATGCCCGAGATGGGTACAGAGAACATGGGCAAGATGCTCACCAACAAGTATTGTCCAAAACCGACAGCGGCCGCTGTTGGGCAGGCGGCCTTCTGTCACACCTGGACCACGCAAGCGGCGACACTGACAGTGAGTTGCGTTCCAACTGAATGGGAATTGTTGTCGTTCTTGGTACCCATTCTTTCCGTACGGCAGGTTCGTGTCGTGCCGACTTCGGCGTTGGTTCCTGACACCGCGGGGATCGTTCCACCGTGAACGATCGACTGCTTCCGAAACGTCAAATTGTTCAACATCGACCGAATCTGGGTCGCCGGCGACGTTCAGCGTTCAACGCCTGCGGCGGGGTCGCCGGCGGTCGACACGACATGAACCTACCGTACCCACTTCGATCGTACCGATCGACCGCGCGATGGCGGAAGAGCTCATCTCTCCAGCATCGCGAAGCGCGCCCTCGCAACGCCAGCAATCTCGCTCCGGCCCTCCACGCACCCCCTTTCGCCCCCCGCCGGCCGCGCGGCCGCGACGGCGGCGGGTCCTCTAGGGAGGTCAGCCGCTTGCACATGGCCTCCTCGGTCTCGCTGACCTGCAGAGGAGGAAGAGGAGGAGGAGGAGGAGGAGGAGGAGGAGGAGGAGGAGGAGGAGGGAGGGCCAGCTGGGCCAGGAAGGGCGAGGCTGAGGCTTGCACGTGGCCCCCAGGGGCGGGGCTGCGCAGAGGTGGCGTCGGCGGCGCGCACGAGGAGCGGCACGAGGGGAGCGGCCTGCTGAGGAGGCGGGGGGGCTTCTCGGAAGCCTTCTGGGGAAGCCTCCGCCCGGCCCTCCCGAGAAGGCGCCCGGCCTTCTCAGGAGCTCCCCCCGCACTCCCGGAGCGCCGCCCCTCTCGCGCTACCCCCGCGTGCGCGCCGCCAAACGGAGGCTGAGCTGAGGGAGGAGAGAGGAGGGAGGGTGGGTGCAGGCGGGGTGGGGGGAAGGGATGTCCAGGATGCTCGCCGCGAGAACGGCGGGCGGCGACGGCGGCCGAGAGAAGTGAAAACAGACGCTTGGTGGCCAGAATCACCAGGGGCCGCTACTGGGGCCCCGGGCTCAGTTTCACGTGCGTTTGTGGAGGGCAGGTGGCCATCCCTCTCGAGAAATACATAAATCACGCATACGATGATGCAAATGCATGTGCATACACATTCACCCATACATATGCACATACCGACATGTATACACATGCTTATATTGGTGAGTGAATCTAAGAGCGCTCATTTTCAGTAGGTTGGCGAAAGGGCCTGGGGTGGGAATCTTCTTGTGGGTTCGGGCGGTTTCTCCAGGGTTTGCCGCCGTCCGCAACCGTTTCGAGATCAAGGCGCCATCCCAGGACCTCGGCACTCGTACAACACACGTCTCACGTCAGTTTCGCCCCCCGACGGGCCCTCCCGCTGATGCGAAGGCACTAAGACGGGGGATGCGTTCCCGAGTCACCTTCAGTCGTTCCCTCGCCGCGCTCGGGCCTGGTCGTGACCAAAGTCGTGGCGAGCGCCTTCTCAGAGAATGATTGCAGTATAATCTTACCGGGGAGATGTGCGACTGACCGCACGACACTTGGACAGATCAGTTGGCGAAGATAGTGTTTATCTCTCGAGGCATGTTACATAAAGCTTCTATGCTTGCATATATCTGGAGTCCTAAAGCGCAACTCCTTGTGTCTATTGCGTTCGCTTCGCGTAGCGCGACCCGCTCCTTTCTAAGTGACGGCCCTGAGGAGGCTCCCTAAGCCAGGCTCTCAGGGGGGGGGCGCTCTCGGATCGCTCCTGAAATTGAAACAACTATCGGTATACCTATAGATCTGTGTATATACCGTAAAAATGCATATACATATGCAGACACACACATACACGTATACCTATACGTGTACATGTATACATGTATGTTTATTATTTGTTCCCCCCCCCCGAGGGTGGGCAGGCTTGCGTCGGCCAGCCTTTCGGTCTCGCAGCAGAGTTTCCGCGCCCTGCACATAGGGCAGCTCGGCGCGACACCACGAGAAGAAGGGCTCGGGCTGTATACATGTATGTTTATATATAATACAATACGTGTAGTGCGGATTTGAAGCTCATTGACAAAACCTGGCCACCTTATCAGGCTAGCATTCAGCCGAAAGCGAAAATAAAACTCGGCGCTGGACAAGAAGGGCAAGGAGCAGGAGGAGGATGGGGGAACCGCTGGCAACTCATGTGCGTCACTGGGAAACTGTGGCTCCATCAGCTGACCTAACCCGTCTAGGTGTGGATGGATACCGTCTCCTCAAGGTTTCGCGGCACACATCCCCATCCAGACGGTGTACGTTCGGAGAGCTAACTTACGCTGCCCCAGAAGGGGGTGGTGGGGATGGTTCTGACGATGATGAAGCGTTTCCCTTTGCACCCGCTCGCAAGAGCCGGTCCTGGGATGATGCCTTCCAGGCCTCTCTGCGCCTGGCATGGCCGTCCTCGCTGCCAATCCGTCTTCATGCCGCAGCAATGAGCAGCCGGTTGAACGGCTTATTTGCTTAAGCATAAACGTTGTATAAACATCAGAGTGAGGGGGCCGAACGGTCATTCACTGTCCCTGGGTGCGTGGCTGAAGTGGGATTCCGCGGTGCGGACTCGTGTTGTTGTTGTTTGTTGTTGTTGTTTGTTGTTGTTGTTGTTGTTTGTTGTCGTCGTCCCACCCGCAACCCGCCCCGCGACCCACCCGCGACCCACCCCGCGACCCACCCCGCGACCCACCCGCGACCCACCCGCGACCCACCCGCGACCCACCCCGCGACCCACCCCGCGACCCACCCGCGACCCACCCCGCGACCCACCCACCCGCGACCCACCCGCGACCCACCCCACGACCCACCCCCGACCCCCGCGACCCACCCGCGACCCACCCGCGACCCACCCCGCGACCCCCGCCCACCCGCGCCCACCCGCGACCCACCCGCGACCCACCCGCGACCCACCCGCGACCCACCCCGCGACCCACCCGCGACCCACCTTCGACCCAAACCATGTTCAAGGTACAGACCAACATTTTCGGCGCCTGCGGCGGGCTTTTTTGCATTCCTTCCAGGTGGAGAGCCCACGACCCACCACGCGACCAACTCGCGACCAACCCGCGACCCAAACCACGTTCAGGGAGTACAAACCACATTTTTTGGCGCCTGCGGCGGGCATCTTTTGCATTCGTTCTAGGTGGAGAGACCGCGGCCCAACCGCGACCACGTTCAGGGTACAATCAAACTTTTTCAGCGCCTGCGGCGGGCATCTTTTGCATTCGTTCCCGGTGGAGAACCCGCGGCCAACCCGCGACCCAAACCACGTTCAGTGTACAAACCAATTTTTCGGCGCCTGAGGCGGGCTGCTTTTGCAGGAGGACGAGGAGGAGGAGGAGGAGGAGGAGGAGGAACGGGACGACGACGACGTCGACGACGGCGACGACGAAAAGGAGGAGGGGGGAGGATCGGGAGGGGGGGAAAAGGAGGAGGACGACGAGGAGGAACATGACGACAATCGGAGGACGATGATGGAAGGTCGAGGGGGGAGAGGGAGGACGAGGAAGAAGAGGAGGAGGTGGAGGAGGACGAGGACGACGATGACGATTAGGACGAGGATGAGGACGAGGACGAGGAAGAGGAGGAGGAGGAGGAGGAGGAGGAGGAGGAGGAGGCGGATGAGGAGGAGGAGGAGGAGCAGAGCACCATCGACAGGGAAGGTGGGAGCCACGAGGTCCGCCGGCTTGACGACGCCCGCGTCGCCCGCGCCCGCCCCCTCACTCTTATCCGCAATTGCAGAGTGCTACGTAAACGTTCGGAGGTTCGCGCGGACTTCTGGGATCGACGCTGGACCCCTCTTCTGGGCGCGCGGAGCGCGCCATGGGCGGCGCCGGAGGCGCCGCTAGGAGGGTCCAGCGACGATCCGCGCGGACCACCGAAAGTTCATATGTTTTGCCAATTTGTCTTCTACGATTCCATCGAGATGCTTTCACGACGCCTCACTCTGACCAATCTGCTACCACGTAAAATTCACCCGCCTAAAAGGACCCGCCAGGATGGGGAAGGCCCTCGCTCTGGTAAAGCATCCTGTCGTCCTCTTCCGCCTCCTCCTCGTCCTCCTCCTCCTCCTCCTCCTCATCATCATCCTCCTCCTCCTCCTCCCTCCTCCTACTCCCTCTTCCTCATCCTCCGCCTCCTCCTCCTCCTTCCTCCTCCTCCTCCTCTTTCTCCTCCTCCTCCTCCTCCTCCTCCTCCTCCCTCCTCCTCCTCCTCCTCCTTCCTCCTCTCCTCCTCCTCCTCCTCCTCCTCCTCCTCCTCCTCCTCCTCCTCCTCCTCCTCTCTCCTCCTCTCTGCTCCTCCTCCTCCTCCTCCTCCTCCTCCTCCTCCTCCTCCTCCTCCTCCTCCTCCTCCTCCTCCTCCTCCTCCCTTCCTCGTCCTCCCTTCCCGCTCCCCCTCCCCCGCCACCTTCTTCCCTGGCCCTCCCGCCAGGCCGCGCCTCGCTCCGATCACCCCGCTGCCACGCGATGCGCCCGCCCAGTGGCCCGGCCAGCTTGGCCGCCGTGCTGTGGGCGGCCTCCGCGCGAGGGGCGTCCGCACACGCGCGTCATCGCCCGACGCCTCTTTCGTCGTCGTCTGCGACCCCGCCGACGTCGCCCGACGCCAGCGCGGTCGAAGCCGTTCTACTCGCCGTCGACGTCGTCGTCCTCCGTCGTCGTCGTCGTCGTCCTCGTCCTCGTCCTCGTCCTCCTGCACGACCGCTGAGTCGCCAGACGCCGCCCCCGCCCGGGCTCGGTGCTGGAGCTGAACATGGCGCGCGAAACATCCCTGGCTACGGGCTGGGTGCTGACGGGCAGGGCTGGACCCTTGCGCCGCGGGGCCGTGCAGAGGCCAGAGGTCCGCCTAGTCTTCTGCTGCACTGCGGTGCTGTCATGCCTGGGCGATGCCCAGGCAAGCTGCTGAAGGCACCCTGCCCGGGTTGGCGCTCTGGAGCTGGCGCTGAGCAACTGAGACTGATTCGCCAGCTTAGGAGGCCGCACTGCCGTGCAGGCCACCAGGGTGAGACGTCAAGCTGCGCCTTCGCCATCAGCGTGGGCGCGCCGCTGGAGTTGGCCGTCACCCTGCACGGCAGCCAAACTGCGGCGGCGGTCAGCGGCACGCTAGGGGGGCCGGTGCCGCCCGTGGGGCGCCCGGCGCAGCTCCACCCACTGCGCTACAGCGGCCTCCTCGAGGGGAACAGCAAGGCCTCGCGCAAACTGGGCCGCGCTGCCCGCAAAGCCGCCACTGGCGTCGCCGCGGACTCTGAAGCGGAGGGTGGATCCGCCCGCATGATAATCCGCCCGCGGGAGGGCCGCGCGGCGGCCACACACTGAGGCGGACCGCACAGGCTCCATCCTATTCCTGCCCGACCGCTGGAGGCTGCTGCTGCTGCTGCTGCTGCTGCTGCTGCTGCTGCTGCTGCTGCTGCTGCTGCTGCTCCATACCTCTCTTATGAATAACTCTTCCCTGTCGCTCCCCCAGACGTGTCGGTAGGGTGGGCCAGGCGTTTCGCCTGAGACTTCCTCACCACTAATGATCCTGAAGCTTGAAAATTGATATAAGTTCACGGCTGAATGGGGGGTCATGTGGCCCTCGATTTAGCGCCGCGCACATTCGCTTCAAATGCTTGCACCAGCTTTACGGATGGAGGGGGACTCGGTTTGAACACGCGTTTACCGTTCAACGCCGACCACATGTGTCTTAAAAGTCTGCAGTAGCTTCAAAGATGGAGGGCGGAACCTTTTTCAAAACGTGGCTCTCGCCTGAGTGCCGCGCGCATTCGTCCCAGGAGTTTACAACAGCTTAAAGGATGGAGGGCGACTCATGTTCAAAATGCCGTTATTGCCTCAGCGCCGCGCGCACTAGTCATGAATATTTGCAACTGTTTCACGGATGGTGGGGGTGCACTTTCAAAATGTGGATCTCGCCGTGGCGCCGTGAACATTGACTGTACGAGCTTGCAACAAATTCAAACATGGACATGGGAGGGGTGCTCACGTTGGCGACCTAGCCTTAGCGCCGCACATATTCGTTTGAAAAGTTCGCACGAGCTTGACGGATGGAGGGCGATACCGCTTCAGCTTGAGGCTCTCGCCACAGCGCCGCGAACATGCGCTTAAAAATATGACCAAACAAGGCTGGGAAGCAAATGTGGTAGTCCACAAGACGGGCGGCAGTGCGAGCGTTCTGCACGGCTGAAGCTCTTGGTGCTGGAGCGATGGATGCGATGGCGTCGTTGACGGCACAGCGGCTGCCAGAACAGGGAAGGATAAGGGGGGAGGGGGCCGGAGGGAAGGCTGGTAGCAGAAGGCTGGCGAAGGAGACGGAGACAGCGATCGATGGGGAGCGTCCGTGCTGCTGAATTGCGAGACTCGTGGCGCTGCGGACCCCAACTTGGAAGCAGGAAAAACGAACGACAAGCACGACGACGACGACGAATGCTTGGTGGCTTCCCTTCCTCGCGGGAAGGGGCACGGGAGGGGGGCGCGGGAGAAAAAGAAGGCGACGTGTTTCAACGGACAGTCGATTAGCCTCACGCTGGAGCGGACTGCCTCTGCCTCGCCGCTGACGAAAAAGTTTCAACGGACAGTGCCACAAGGCGGAAGATTGCGAAGGGGAGGCCATTTTCACGCCAACCAATGCTAGACGCGATTGTCTCGAGAACGTCGTTCGCGCGCACACAAGGTGGGACGAGCCGGAAAAAGGAGGCGCGGCGTCATGTGGGCAGGGGACGAGCCTGGCGCAGCTGTTAGCAACAGCTACAGCGCCGTGGCCGCCTAGTTTCGCGGTCGGATGGCGGCGAGAAGAAATCTGCGACAGAGTGACAGCGCCACGGCCGCGCGCGGGACGCGCTGTTCGCAGGTGGTCGGCGCAAGCGACACCATAGTGAAGCGAGCAATCGGAAATGAACCGCCCATTCAAGTTATCAGCCAGCCCTTCCCATGATGAGTTGTCGCTGACCAGGCACGGCACGTAGCGCTTGCGAGCGGAAGCACGGAGCTCGTCTGTGGCATGCTGCATCATCTTTCTTGTCATTTTCCGTTTAAGGTCCATGGTAGGCTGCCGCGGCGTCGCCCAGCTGGACTGGAGCTCATGCTTTCACTGAGGGAATTCTTCGGCATCAGAGATTGGCCACGCGTCAGAGATAACGACCTCTCAATGCGAAGCATTGACGTTCGCGATGAGCACGGAGGCCGCGTGCTTCTTGGGGATCGAGATGCGCGGTAGTGTGGATACGGCTTAGTCGATGACGCAGTCCAAGTCTTCGAGTTTGCGTGTGCCCCCCAAAGCGTCCACTCTGGTGCTCATTATCTCCAGGCCCCCCGCGATCGCGTCCACTTTGGGCCCGCGCACCCCGCGAACAAGGACCAAGACCCCCGTCGTCAGCCTCGGCGCGGCAGCGAGCCAGCGAGAACGCGGCTCGTGGGAGATGATCACAGTCACGATGACACTGCTGGCGGCAAGCGGCTCTCGCTGGATACATGCAGGAGGCCCTCGCAGAAATCGAACTGGCGAGGCTCCGCGAATACGACGACGAGAGAAGGGGCGGCGTCGTCTCCTATGGCGTTCTTCGGCTTGGGATACCGGAGCCGCAGGCGGCCCTGTTCGGAGGTGGGAGAACCGCGAGCGACGTCCGCCATGAAGCGCCCTTTCGCGCCCGAATTCGCCACGACGAGCGCCGCTGCCTCGGGAAGCGATGCCTGCGCGGATCCGGCAGCGTCAACGTCAACACTGGCGGCAGAAGCTCGAACACGATCGGCCCCCTGCGCTCGCTCGCAGGGTGCCCAGAGTGGCGGGCACGAGCTCCGGCTGCCTAGTGGCTCCTGCGGTGCCCAGCGTGGTCGGGAGCCGCGGCGGCGGCGTTGGCGGGGCTGGTCCGTCCAGCGGCCGCGGGGGGCTGCGACTGGCCAGCCCTGTCGACCGGACGGGGGGCGGGCGGGTCGACGACGGGCATCGCCGATCAACGCTCGGGCAGCCTGCTGGCGATCGCCGAGGCTGGCGAGGTGCCAGTCGGGGTGGATTTGGTCCGCGCCAACGGCCTTGAAGACCGTGCGGGTGGCCGGCATGGGGGCGAGCCTGATGTCGTGGCCGAGGGAGTGGACGGCAGCTTCCAGGAAAGCATTCCAGTTCTTGGGCCCACTGGGGCGTGGCCCTGATGTCTGATAGCCTCTTGGACCAGTGGGCGAGCTCGGGGACACACACACACACACACACACAGACAGTGTTTACGTCGCAGCGCGGCCGAGGCAGTCCGCACGCGCGCTCGGGCAAGCCGGGAGACGACATCGCTAGTTGTCCTGATGCAAGAGCGGGAAGAAAGGGGAGGGGGCGGCCGCGGGGCGGGAGAAAAGAGGGCGAGCAACACACACACACACACACATACACATATATATATATATATATATATATACCAGTTCCGACACTGCGCAACCAATCCCCTCGCTTCACCCGCCCCAACTCCGACAATCTGCGACCAATCCGCTCCCTCCTCCCCTAGCGCTCGGGTGACCCTCACTGTGCCGCACCTCCTCATCATGATTTTCCTCCTCCCCCGCCTCCTCCTCCTTTTCCTCTTCCCTTCCATCTCCTGCTGTATCTCTTCTTTCACATCCTCCTTTTGCCTTCCCCCTTCTCTCCCTCCCCCTCCTAATCGTTCCCCGCGAGGCTACAAAAGCGTCGCAATTGCCGACCGCGCAACTGCAAACTCCGACACGACCACTACGGAGACCCCGCGGACGATCCGCATTTCAGCGTACACGGTATCCTGGCACATGCGAAGTTAGCCTTTTCCCCAACCATCCTGTGGTGTTGGGTCCTCGTTTTGAAGAGACAGCGCCCCGCGTCCTCCCTCCTCCTCCTCCCCCTCCCTCCTCCTCTCACCAGTCATCATCACCATCATCGTCATCATCATCGCCATCATCAGCACCATCACCCCTCACACGTTTCGTGGCCCCACAGGGAGCTCCACCGAAGGCCCCAATGCCGCCGGCCGCATGCGTCCCGCACACCCACGTCGGCACACCCGTCACACGCTTCGGGGCCCCATAGGGAGCTCCACCAAAATCCCCAGCGCTGCCGTCCGCATGCGTCCCGCACATCCAATTCGGCACACCCCTCACACGCATCGTAGCCCCACAGGGAGCTCCACCGAAGGCCCCAGTGCCGCCGGCCGCATGCGTCCCGCACACCAACGTCGGCACACCCCTCACACGTTTCGTGGCCCCACAGGGAGCCCCACCCAATTCGGCACACCCCTCACACGCATCGTAGCCCCACAGGGAGCCCCACCGAAGGCCCCAGTGCCGCCGGCCGCATGCGTCCCTCACACCAACGTCGGCACACCCCTCACACGTTTCGTGGCCCCACAAGGAGCTCCACCGAGGGCCCCAGTGCCGCCAGCCGCATGCGTCCCGCACACCCACTACGTTTCGTGGCCCCATAGGGAGCTCCACCGAAGGCCCCAGTGCCCGCGCCCGCATGCGTTCCGCACACCCATTCTGGCACACCTCTCACACGTTTCGTGGCCCCATAGGGAGC